AGAAGATCAGTTTATAAGATCTCATAAATAAATATATCAACTATTTATGCCGAGGTTCATAGAAAGTCGGTCTTTCGAGGTACGATACATAGATGGGCCACAGCGAGTCACTGTAAAGACCAGATATGCATTCAATCTCTTCCAAGCAATGCTTAATGAAGTCGAAGGCGTGGCGCACCCCCAGAGATTGATCAACGCCGGAGGCTGCATCCTTCATCCTTCACTGGAAGTTTTGAAAAGAATTGGTTAAAATGGCGCACAAACATTTTTAATGGCTTGGAATAAAGCATGCTTTTATGAAGCGTGCCGAACTCAGCTTCGTTGTTTCACCGACGCCATCCATAGTTTGTCGGATATGGTCTAAAGGTGTCCAGTTGCTCATAGAGGTTGGTAAAGCCGAGCTACTATCATTATCGGTTCGTTCAGCAGTTCTTCTAACTTGCTCTATCGTTCTACTTCCAATTTTGACTGGGTGATGTAACTATATTAATTTCGAGTCTTTGTGGCTCTCTTGAGACACAGCGAAGCTTGCAAAAATTCCCTACATAATGAAATAACCATCCATTTTTTTCACTTATTATCACGCACCATAACTTCATTATAAACTAAATTTTATGCGGTTTATTAGCATCGAACTGTGTTTACCTCTCAGCCATCATCTCGAAGAGACGAAGATATCATCTGAAATGATCCGTTCATTTGAATCAGCAGAGCAACTACATGTGAAGCAGTGAACGGTTTGGAGAGCTGGCCTATCTCGCTCGGACCGTGTTTTCCACAGCTTTAGTTGATAAGTACGGTCTTCGTTTAGATAACGTTGAAGCTTATTTTGATCGTAGAATGCGTTCAAATATAAACGTTATACGTTTTTCATAGCACAGAAAACTTTAGCAGGAATGGAATTTCAAGGTGGTTATCATCCGGGAGTTCGATTTATTAAGAAAATTCAGTGGTTCTCCGCGAAATGAAATATCAAAAAGAACTCGTGTATAACATCAGTAAAAAAACAGTGATAAAATAAGTTAAAGTATTAAAACAGAAACAGTTAAATAGTGGAACACCGGAACTGAAGAGACCATGGAAAATACTCGAGCAATTTATGGGAAATGAAATATCTCTTATTCTAAGCGAAGAAATGAGACGACGGGTGTTTTCGAAGGTCGCTTAGTGATTCATCTGTTGTAGTGAATAGGTCGAGGCATTTTGCTGCATCCTATGCTCCAGGAGAGACTTCTCCGGTTTTACGTCCGTCAAAAGGTCTAAAAGGCTGTCTGTGGAGGCCGAACTGTCGTCTATCTGGAACAGAACGATTGATGGAGAGATTATTTTCAGTCACTGCAACATTTTAGAGGTGCTCACGTCCGGCTGTTTACTATACTTACTTAGTTGATACTTGAACCCGTCCTCACAGGTTGCGTGGCTGCAAGCATAATCACCATTTTTCGGAGATTTGCTGGCTAAGTCATTGTGGTTTCCTGGAATCCCAACGTCGGCTTGGCTAAAGTCTGCCCCAGGTCTTCACCACCACAGGCAGTCACAGCCTTTGTGGATCAGATGGAGATTTGACACTATGCAACTTTAATACCAGGACGGTGGTGGATCCTGGTACTGCTTTACTCCTAGCTAGCTTCCTGATGGAAAAGCCGGACTCTTTCTCAGCTTGGGAAACCCTGCCGGGAAACGAATCCCCCGGTGTGAATCGCAGTCCGACATCCAGAAACACCTCCCAACCATGATGAGGCGATAAACCGTTGAGAGAGCTCTTTACGATGTTATGGAAAATTACCGTAAATAGTCAACTTGCTCAAAAACTTACGTGTTCGGTGCAGAATCTGCGCAGATCCCACAGAACGTCGATCAGATCATGGTAAAGCGTCGGATTTCTTGGTCGTCTTACATCTACCAACTGCTTCAGAGCGTCCATATAAATCTCCCTGGTCTCTTCCACTGTTCGAGCGTCCAGAAGTCCTGGTCGTTCTAAAAAGTATTTTCTTTAATTAATATTCCTTTAACGATGCTAAGATCTTAACTCTTTTATTTACTGCCTTTTTCTTCTTAATGGCAGGTTATGCTTCGAATTATAACTCGCATGAATTGCTGAGATATTTGCAAAACTCCGGACCGCAGGTGTATGCGGTGGGGAACGAACACGCTATTGTTCTTTCCGGGGGGTAACGCGTTCACCACCACACCATGCGGGTCCTTCGTTTTCGCAATGTATACCCTGCCGTTAAAAAAGAACAGGCAGTAAATAAAACGGTTGAGATTATTCAATATTCGGTTCAGAGTAGTTCATAAGACTAACTGTGCAACTACTCTTGATGTTATTTCCACTTTTGTCATGCTATCTAAAATTTCCACTGAGGTTTGTACCAGTTATAGCTCTTACCGGAGAATGCTATAATCGCCTCCAGAAGAAGCATCTCAGTTGTATCCGGCGATAGGTCAGCCATTCGTTGCGCTAGTTCAAACACGTACTCGGCGAATGGTGTCATACCAGCCTCACAATACATTTTTCGATCGTAGCTAAATCCAGTTAATGTCAGCGATTTGGCATCTTGTATCCTCTAACTGCACTGCTAAGTACGCATTATAAAGCATCCAACAATGTTCGAGGCTAAGGTGTAACATAGTGTGCTGTGGAACTGGCCTGGAACACCTCCATATATGAACTTCTTTGATATAGTTCCATGTTTTAGATCAATTTTTTCCTTTGAACATTTAAAGCATTGTATAAAACATTCATCTCCGCACTAGATCTCGGTTCAAAAAATTGTCTATCGAAGTGGACTTCGAAGCCATTGCTGCACTGCGAAAGAAATTCACTGCTTTTTCACCAGTAAATGTTACCTGCAAGAAGAAAGAGCTTTGCCTACATAATAAGTGTTACCGGAAAGAATGCCGATCGTTTCCCAGAATAAGGCAGTCGCTGGTAGTATCATACTTGCTTGCTGTACGTAGCATGAGGATTTCCGTCTTTGAAACCTAAAAAGAGTAAGGAATGTTTAACTTTAAGCTGATATAACATGCATAAAGTTATGAGTTAAATGTTTGAATTACCCATTCCTGGGAAGAACCGTTCAGCACTAGGCATAATTTCAGCTGATAATTTGCTCACTGGATCGGACTTTGGCCTCAGTGAAGTCGGGACTTTAGGGAGCCACAATGGCTAAGCCAGCAAAACTCCGAAGAAAAATCGGAATTATTCTGGAACCCGCAAAAAAGGCGAAGACGGGATATCCAAGTGTCCAAGTAAGTAATATGCTCACTGGGTAATTTTCTTTCTCCGAAAGTATAACATTACCATGTTAGGGCTTTCTCGTATTAAGGGCTTAGGAAACCCTGCGAGAAGTCACCCTTCCCTGCTTTACTTTTCAGCTCGACACAGAGAACACCCTTTAATTAAGCAGTAAAAAAGAAGAGGAAAATGATTTAATGATGCTGAGATATTTGCAAAACTCCGGACCGCAGGTGTCTCCGGTGGGGAACGAATGCGCTATTACACTTTGCGGGGGCTAAAGCGCTCACCACCACACCATGTGGGTCTTTCGCTTCACTTGTTTTTCAGTTACTTCTATATCTACCAGTGCCATCAGCAATCACCCGTCAGAGGGATTGATCTAAAGAGCCCAAACCGGCAACGAACCGAGTTAAGCTGAGGATGTAGTTATAATTTTAACTTATTATTTACTGCCTACGTTAAGTTATATATCGCAATATGCCCCACCATTAAAAAGAGTAGGCAGTAAATAATAAGTTAAAATTTTGATTATAACTACAGCCTTAACTTAACTGGGTTCGTTGCCGATTTGGACTCCCCAGAACAATCCCCCTGACGGGTGATTGCTGATGGCAGAGATCGATAGAATTAGCTGAGCGAAAGGCGAAACGAAGGACCCGCATGGTGTGGTGGTGAACGCGTTACTCCCCGGAAAGGACAAAGCACGTTCGTTCCCCACCGCAGACACCTGCGGTCTGGAGTTTTGCAATTATCTCAGCATCCTTGAAATTATATTTCGCAATATACCTTGCCCTTATGAAGAGCAGGCAGTAAATAATAGTCCAAAATTGTGAAAATGGCTTAGTTGAGAGAGACAACTAAGTGGGCTTTTTATGCAAATAAAACATCAGTCCTATGTTTTTTTTAGACATCTACCTTTTGTAATGTTTTCCTGTCCAGTTTCTGAAGCCTTGAGAAGCCCGGTAACTGACGGACAAACTTATGAGTGTACTGCGCTTCCAGTATTGTCAATTCCGCCAATTGTTGGAAAGAAGTATAACAGGAAACGGGATGCATCTGAAATAATGTCGTTCAAACTTAGCACAAACCAAGACCTCTTTTCGTAAATCCAACTTCTCATCGCAGTTTCATGAGTGCGGCAAGGCACAATTAGTTAAGTGGAACCGACCTGAAACCAGTTTTATCGAACGTGCAAGGAGGTAGTAGTCGGCCACCAGCGGCCGACAAGCCGTCCACTTTCCTACTACATCGCTTAGTTGAATGCGAGCATTGTCAGAAACCGTACAATGGCCATATCAATTTTTTCTATCGAATGCTTACTTTTTCTTACATGTGGGCCTTTTCTGCTATTCAGAGGTGTTCTTGACCCTTATCTAGCACGTCGCCTGCTCCCTTTAATAATACTTCCAATCAATTGCAATAAATGACTTGATAATAAAACAGTCGTAAACACGTAGGAGATGGGATTTTAAAAAGTCCCACCTCCTGCGTGGTTACGACTGTTCTATTATCACTTAAACGATATAAATAAATTTTAATCCATGAGCTCTTATGTCGTGAGAAATGACGACATTCGTATAGTTAATTTTCAAATGACATTGAGATTCTAGCATTTCAAAATCTAACGGGAGTACAAAAAATAAATTGCAGAAAAGCAAGGAGGAAATCGCTGTATTAACGACCTCGTTGGCAATTGAATAGCTACTACTTACTTGAATACTTGGATGACCCGTCCTTCCTGGTCGCGCTAGCCCCAACGAACCTCCATTTTTTCTGGAGATTTGCTGGTATAGCCATTGTGGTTTCCTGAAAACTCGGGGTCAGCCAAGTCAAAGTCTGCCCTGGTCTTCACCACCACATGCAGTCGCAGCTCTTGTGGTTTAGAGGGAGATTTGCCACCATGTGCTTAATTTGATACCAGGACGGTGGTAAATCCCGGTGTTGGTTTACTCTTAGCTAGACTTACTGAAGGAAACGCTGTACTCCTTCTCAGCTTGGGAGACCCTGCCAAGCGGATAAATCTCCCGCTGTATATCGCTGCCCGACATCCAGGAACACCTTTCAGCCAAGATGGGGCGACAAGCACTTGGGAGGCAATTTCGATTGAACATCTTTACTTACAATCACCCGATTTTCTGAATTGTTTATCTATCTTGAACGTTCGATGTATTCTTGAAAGGAGCACCTGTGTTGGAGTAGAAAAGCAGCTCTTAAGCATCAAAGAATTTGTTCATGAAAAAGTCTATTCACCGAAAAGCATCTAATACCCAAAATTTACCACAATTGCAGCAATTGCCTCGTCTCGGTCGAGTGAAATTAGATTTGAAGTGGCTTTTATTCTGGATACAAGTTCCCTGGATTCTGCTGACATGCTGCGCTCTCTGGCAGTAAATGGATCGCTAAGGATTTGCGCCGAGAGATCCATGGACGAGGGTGACGGTAGTTCTGTCGCTTCGTGAGGATTGGATCGCTGCCGCATCTTCGCCTCACGCCTGATCCGGCACTGCTCCTCCGGAATCACCACTAAACACAACCACGCTAAAATATGAGACGACCATATTGTAATGTATGTTCTGACCAAACTCTTGATCATATATAAGTGCGGAAAGGACTTCGTTGTCCAGTATAAGTGCACTGACACAACTCTAAATACAAATCTTGGTTTTGATTATATCTTAATGGAAATGCTTAGACTTGGTCGATAGCAACGTATCTAAGAGGTTAACATTACATAAACGCTGCATTGTGCTGCATTCATTTTCTCGTAGTGACGTTCCATTTTTTAAGAAGTGCCAGATTTCAAGATGTGAACGATGGCTGTCCACCGGTGAATAAATTTCACAGGAAAAGTGAGACTAAATTTCAAGTTTTTGCTAGGAATAACAAGCAAACTGTTATAAGAAAAATAATCGATATATGGGCTTTTATTCCATGACCTGACAACACATATTGTGTGGATCGCACTACTTCTTTCATAGAGTCATTTCCTTGCATACATTGTCTGCAAAGGTCTTCAGATTTGCGTTTGGGATCGGTTCCTGTTTGAAATTCTTTGCTCTTCCTCATGATGGCGCCGAATGCTTGTGAAGCCGAATATTCCGGCTCTGCTAACTTTCTCAAATTTTCATCGCAAGTAGTTGCCAGCTTTTTTGGACTAGAGGAAGCCAATTGAACATAGGCGGCTCTGACACCAATTTCCCGACACCGGAGAGTTGGGAGGCTTGGTAAGATGGAGATGACATTAGACTAGTGTCTTGTACGTGCTGCTACCGTTTTACGACAACCATTAGTTCAAGCTGTGTTCAAGCATACGAAAAATTACTATGAACCTCACGTCTGTTATTTGAGCAAATAAGATAAAGAGCCAGACAACAAGAATGAAAAGAACAAAGGAAAGATCTCGACGTTGACCAATTTCTGAAGATGCGCTTGCATTTGACTTCATTAAGCATCGTGGAGGTGGTTGAATGCAATTTTGGCATATAGTGGAAAGATCTAGGCTTGTCTAGGCTCGTCTTGTGCGCTGAATCGAGCTGTTGACAAAATGTGTACCTCAGGGCACTTCTAGTCACTGTGCCACGCGTGCTCTCATCATTAGGTGATGGTACGGAAAATTCCACGGTTGCCACAATGAATGAATAGTCCTATTTTTTATCTACCGCTATGGATTTTAGAAAGTTGATGTAATTAAAAGCCATGAAACGTGGCCACACGCACACTCAGCTCGCATTCCGATTTTCATGCACTTCTCGAGCCGACAGTGTTGGCACTTCCGACGCATGTACATGTCTATGTCGCACGCCCGACCGAATTTGCAGTAGTAGACGGCCCGTCGAGTGATCGAACGGCGAAAGAAACCTGTAACAACAATGATTTTCAGAAGCAGGTCAAAAGTATTTTTGTACCATTATCACTCAGGGTTTATAAGGTTGCAAAGATTTCTTGAATGAGAGACCAGAATGGAATGAGTAGCAAGTCAGGTCGTCATCTCTATGAGTGTTGGTCCATCCTTTACTGTCGCAAAAAAAAATCTGCCTGGTGAGGCGCTTTATCACAGCATCAATTCCATCGCTTTTGGAGAAGAACCGGTGGAGGCACAGTTAGTATATTTCATAAAAGTATACATAGCACATACATATATATGTAGGCATGCAATGGAATAGAAATATAGTGCTCCATTCTTCTGATTCTTCATGCAGAAGAAGGCACCAGTCAGAAATGTGTAACCAATGGCCAAAGCGAGTGCACAAGACTTTTCAACACATTGAAGTGAATTCTTCCCTTGCCAAAGTTGTCGAAACGTTGTTGAAATAGTGACTGCATAGATGACCACGACACTCTGTCATATTTTTATATTCGAGTTATTTTACTCTTACGAACTGTGCTTTGATGAGCCGGGAAGAGGTGGTCGACACGTGTTTTCGATTAACCATAGTTAGCGTTTCAGTGGGTTCGACTTCTTCAGAGTTGTACTCGTCTTTTTTTCTCAACCACACGTTGTTTACAAAAGATAATAAAAAATTTGAATGCCATAAGTTCATTCCGTTTTATTTTTCCTGAGGTTCTAACATCCTATTTGAACCATATACGAACTGTCTCAACCTGTAGGAAATGAAAACTGAGCAGAGGAAGACGAAGTTACATAAACGTTAACTAGCGAAAATCCGTTCGAAAGAGAGCATTCAAATGATTACTATGGCCAGAGTAGTTGAAAATCGGTGTTCTGAACTATTAACACTTTAGGCCCGACGAGATTTGAGTTCCAGTCACAAGGTGGTAAAGGTTGCTTTCAACTGTAACCTACACATTTCAGCACAAACTGGACTCTATTAATTAAAATAAAGGTCATGAGAATCCACAGATTTTCTCCAAAAAGGTGCTACACCTATTATGTCAACAAGATAAAACGTCAATTTAATGGAGGCAAGAAGAAGTGCCTTCATCACTTCTTTTCGTCAATGCTCATATTTTAAAAAATCATAGGGTTTGAACAGGCGGTATTTCCTCCATTAGAAACTGTGATGTCACAAAGTGCCATTGATGTTTATGATCGCGCGTGTTTCGATTGAAATCTTTAAAATTTAGGCTCCTTCTCCATTTGTTCTGAGAATTTTGTTTTTAGACAACCCTAAAAATCAAATAACCGCTTTAAAAAACCATAGTTACCTTATGTTTTCTAATTATCGAAAAATTATTGGTAGTGTGCGAAGAACCAACATCGGTGCCTAGGTGTTAAGTTGGCTCATACTCAGATCACGAAGGTTTCTACTGTTAACGGCGTCGGGTACTGAGGTTTTTGAGCACATCTAGTTTGGAAAAATATCTGCCCTAGATAAATTTGAGTGGGCGAAAACTAATTTCTGTAAAACATATTTTCCAAGCTGAGCATTGTTTGCTTGTCCTGTTTTGTTCAGAGTTGTGATAGTGAAGCCGTACGGATAGAATGAGCTAGGCAAGAAGTTGCGTGAAAGTCAATGATGTGCGGAACTGGAGACTACTGAAGTGACTCCAACTTCACAACTTTGAGCTTTCCAATAGTAATTCGTACTTTAATTAAAAATTGCTTTTCCAATAGCACTGAGTGCCGTGAAAGTAAAACGTCTTCTTCTTCTAGTTTCACAATAGTTTTTTCCTGAAGGAATAAATTGGTCAAAACTCTGCTTCATCTGTAATCTTGTCAGCAGCATTTTGCTACTACATCCCCCAAAATTTTTCGATTAATCTATGACTGTGGAATTCCGCAGTGTGATTTCCGATTCATGCAGTCAACTTTCGAAGGTGAATAGCGCATACCTTTGCAACCTTCACAAGTGAGTGCGTTGTAGTGATATCCTGAGGCTTTGTCACCACACACAAGGCACAACTCCTCACCGGGCACGGCCGATGTGCTAGCACGACATTTTGAGCTGCGTGTCTTCCTCTTGTTCTGCTAAAAACTCTATGCTAGATATCCTTTCCTCAGTTCAAAAATAACAATTAGGATGTGATCAGCTAGGTCACAGCTTAATGAATCCTTTAGAGCTACTGAAAACGCATACATTACTTTCTGAGAAGTAGTACCGAAAAAATGTTTTCTCAGTGAAAAGTTTGTTCTCCTAAGTAAGTTAGTCATTTCTTATCGAAGATACCAAAAAAGAAATCTCCGTGTAATACGTTTCCCACTAACCAATTTTCAAACACTCAAAAAGTTTTTTCGTAGGAATGAGTTTGCCAAAATCTTTTCGGCCCGTGGTTTCGGACGAAGTGAGGTGAGCTCTGTGTAACCAGATGTGGTCGCGAATTGTTCGTGGGGGCCATTCGTATGCTTGTATGCGCTCCTCCGCTCAAGGCCACCCTCTCCGCAATCTTGGTGCTGAGAGTCGCTGTTAGGTTGGAACAGCGATTCGCTGCGAACTGGTATTGACGACTGCAATTTGTAAACAAGGAGGGAATGCTCACCTGTAAGCTCTCCCCGGCTAACTGCTCGTGAAATCTCTCATGAGGAATACAATGGGACCATCTCATTTCTTGTTCTGAACAACAAACCATTGCAATGGAAATAAACTTCGTACAATAGCAACAACACCAGATCTCTGTCTTGTACTGTCGCTGTTAATTTGTGATAGTAGTCCGTATTTGAATCGTAGCACTATGTTTTTTCTTTCCTTTCTAATGATAAGTGTTCATGTCAGGCCTATCAAGATGGTGCCATTATGAAGCCTTCTTCTAGTTCCAACTTCACAAGAAACTATACCCAAATAGAATGTGTTCTTGCGGAACTAGCTTTCCAACACTAGCTTTTACTAAATTACAGCTAAGTCAGAAAAAATATATATGCCTATTGGTGTCTACCGATAAGACCGTGAAAAAAGTAGTCAAAGAAATTTTCAGCTTTTCCACGACTTTAAGGGCACATGAATACCGTGGCGATCGACGTTCGCCTCAAATACAACGTTGGGTGGTGACGTAACGTCGGTTGGACCTCGTGAGCACTGCATAGGTAAAAAGAAGGAAACAAGTGGGAGGATCAGTGCACAAAAACAATTGTACTCGTGACAAGAGCGTGTAATTCTGCAGAAGGTATCTTTTCACCTATTCATGAAAAAAAAAGGCAGAAGTCAGAAATGAATATTTAAAAAAGGATTATGTCGCTGGCTTCTTCGAAGGCTATATAAGCATATATAAGGCAATACAGCAACTCTTCTGTGGCGCGGTGTCACATTTAACTTCAATGCGCTAGAATTTTTCCACAATTGATAGTAGTTCACCAGCAAACTCCACGGCAACGTAGCTGCGCGAAGCGGCAGTTGAAGACGTTGGAAGTTGTGGATCGATGCGAGCCGGGTCGTTTGGTGTCCAACCGGAAAGCTGTGAAAGTTTGTGGTAGGTGACCGTAGCAGTTGTCATCTACGCTGAATGAAAATCATTCATTCACTTCCAAAGGATCACAAAATAATTTGAAGGCGAATAAAGATAACATTAATTGAAGCACTGAAATTTCCGGGACAATAGATAGTGAAATACATATTTAATTAATGGTTAAACAATGTTGGAAACCTGTCTCTCAGCTATGCCAGATCAATCCCGCTGACGGGTGATTGCTGTGGCAAAGATCGATAGAAATAGCTGATAGACAGGAATAGCGCGTTCGTTCCCCACCATAGACACCTGTGGTCCAGAGTTTTGCAAAAATCTCAGCAACGTTGTGGTTGTATTTCGCTTAGTACCCTGCCGCGAAATTATAGTAGGCAGAAAATAAAAAGGTATAACAATGTTGGAAACGTTTAAATTCCTTAAGAACAATACTAACTGCAATCGAGAAAGACCGGATATGTGGGTAAGTGATTTGCATGTGGTGGCGAGTTTTGCTCAAACACTGATTGGGAACTAACGCTGACAAACAGAGTGACGAACTTATGCTGGGAGCATTTCTCCTTGATGTTTGTTCTCTTAGTGTACAAAAGAACTGCTACTAAACAGGTATTCCTCTTTTATTAGAATTACGTTTGATGTAAGTCAAAATCGATAAGCTGCGAAAATTTGCGCGTAGGGAACGACTGTGAATCTCAAAGACCAAAGCTGTTGTGGAGAAGACAAGACAGTTAGAATATACGTTCAACACACTGGAGACAGCACTGGTTTTTCACAACAGCCGCTCATTTCTCAAACAATATAGCATTTGACGAAATCAACCCAAGCCGAATATATGGAGCACACGTTCAGCTATCGCCAAAGAGGTGTATGCGCTTCCTGAAATCTCGTCTTCACTTTGAGTTTGCTTAAAACTAAAATTTTCAGAAAATGCGGAAGAAGCATGAACTTTCAGAATTCCTGACGCTAGTGCGGTAACCTTAAGCAGGAAAGGCACACTAGAGAACTCCATCGCCTTCTGTAGTAGGAAAAGTGCCTTTTCAGGCACTCTGCTGCAAGAAATTCTTTTCTTGACGAGGAGGATGCAAGAGAGCACCAAGAAAGTGCCGTGAGTGTTCTGAAATTTCGGGAGCTCATGGAAAGGTCTAACATTTCGATTATTTGTTCGGCACAATGGAATGAGTTCGAATAATTGATTAGTTACAAAAGCAATCTCGTTATTAGTGGATACGTATGTAGCGGAACCCATAGCCCTCCTAATTCAAAAGGCCTTCATTCGTGCGGTTCAGGGTTCCATCAATTTCATGCTTCTGTACAACACATCTCGGTAAGGCTGATGTGCAAGCAGACTGTGATTTTGGTGTTTAAAAGATGGGGAAAAGTGGAAGTAGGCGGTGAAAAGGCTACTATAATTCAAAATTACGGAAAAGAATGAGAGCAGAAATACCGAAATGAAAATATCTTGTTAGGAAGAAAACACCTTTAGCCAAGCTGAAAACAAACCAACAAAATGTAAAGTTGAAAAGGCGATTGGACGAAAGTAAGCCTTACTGTAATCAGCTGAGTAACAAAAAGGAAAGAGATGCCGCGCAACTACTAAAACTTGTAATGCAGCAAATACAACTTGTTCGGCGCAGGACAAGTTTAAGCAAATTTATCCTAATTTCTCGGTTAGAATCGTCTTGTAAATACAGAAATTTTCAGTCTTTAGTAATTTATAACGTTTAGTATAGATGTAATGGGGTCACAGTGATAGTGATGTCCGTCATCACGAGCATGGTGCATGTTCGACTTCGCTCCGTGCCAACCAAGCCTCTCGTCCATCCAGAGTAGGAAAATTGGTACCAGACTTCTCTGGGAAAAACTCACTCTCTGCAATCTAATTGGAAACGTTCCAACCCGCCTATTTCAGGATTCCAGAGAGAATTGCTCGACCAGCATTGTAAAACGTTCAAGATGAAATGCAAATCATCATGCAGCAACCGAAGCCACACGTAAAAACTTGCAAATCCTTCGTGGACGATGGATGCGAGGAAACGAATTGGATGTAAGAAGTGCTGGGATCCCCATAGTAGACGTGAAAACGGGTCATATAAAATGAAAAATTATGGACGTAGCAAAATACGTTTGTTACAGAGACTTATGAAAGAATTAGTCGGCATCGTGAAAAAGACAATATGAGTACATATCCATTTGTAAGTTAAAAAAGTAGTGCTTTTGTAAATAAACTAACGTGTCACGGTAAAAGAATTCTAATCATACTACTCTGGCTTTCAATAAATCTAAAAAGACAATCGTAAAATAGAATCCTGAGACCGCCAGCGTGAGAGCGCCATCTACTGTGTTCTTGGGGCTGTCTTACGGTAACTTTTATATATACTATTTAAAATCAAACGTGGCTTTCTAGTATTATAATCATTGGACCCTGATACAGCAAACGAATTGTGAAGTAGTGACTTGGAAGCAATGAAACGCGTCAGTGCCATTGTCGACGGAGAGGAGGACATGTGCGAGGTGAGTAGCGGCGACCTTGAGCACCGACAGCGCTGCCCGGTACCGCCACCACTCTCGGTTTTCAATATCATCTTGTTTTTGACGTGATTACCCAATAGGGTAAAAATCGCGCTAACGTTCGCCCACCTGAAAGCATACCGACACACATACGTAGCGTTCGTTTGTCGATAACATCGTGTCACAATGACCGTTTCTGTGAACCACCTTCTATCACATTATTGGGGGTTGCTAATATATTTATTTGCAAAACATTAATAAACCTTCAACCACAACAAAAAATATAGGCTTTCTTTGACAAGAGCCAGATCAGTAGATGCTGCCTTCAATGGTTTTGCATGAGAACAGTGAGAAGTTACTTAGGATTACAAAGTGAGGCAGTGGATTCACTTCCAGCAGACTTACTCGGCCGATTTCGGAACTCCCTACCTCTGACATGACTTTGGCATCTACAGACGGAATTTGGCCAAAGTCCATTTCCTAGTTAGGAGTAAACCTATCTCTCGTCAACAATTCGGAAGTCTAGTGAAAAATTTCTCGATAAGACACTAAAATACTAGTTAAACAGATATTGCGGCAGATTCTACATTTTTTGTGGATATGGACAATCCCTTAAAGAACAAGACCTACTACAATGAGCTGAGAATCATAAAAGCAAAAAGCTCTCGGCGTTGACCAATTTCTGAGGGATGCGCTGTGCATTTGACTTCATTGAGCACAGTTGGAGGTAATTGAATGCATATCTGGCCTTTGCAATGAATGACTTTCGGTGTCTTACCGATGTATCGAGCCAGTGCTGCTGTTGTCGTCCCAGACAAAGCTGATTCTAATTTTCCGACTCCGGATGGATGGAGAGCTTGGTGAGCTTGGGCCGCGTGGTTCGGTCCCATGTGCACTGCAAGGCGCTTCCGAGCACTGTGCTACACGCGCCTGAGTGAAATGAAGGAAACTAGGTTAGATGAAAAACTGTGAAACCTGCCTTTAGTCAAAAAAAGACATCGAAATCTCCTAAAACCATAGTATCGTTTATGGAGGCTAAATGCGGTGAAGGTGCTGCAACCTATTACCACTCTGCGAGACTTCCGATTCACAAAGCAACACAGTGATGTGTTCTATGATAGACTAGACGGAAGACCCACTCAGGGCCAAACGAAAGCCTTAAAATCGAATTCACTACCGTTAAGGCGAGGAGATTCGATGTTTAACATCTGCGCAAAATTTGTAAAAATGTGTAAACTAAGATAAAAATTTAAATTTAAAATTACAAAAAGCGTAAAATTCGCTTCTTGGTTAAGAATCACGTCTCATTGCAGGAGCCCCTTTTGCTCACATTAACGAACATCGTTCTGGTCCACTTATCGGCGTGATACCACCAGTTTATCAGTTTTTCGCTTCAGATACTCATTCAGATGAGTGAAAAAGGTGATACACTATCTCCAAGTTCAACTTCACACTCCTGATTTCATGTCCTACCATTCTTCGTTTAGGAATAAATGACGCTTATGAGTAGTAAATACACAACCGCAGTCATGTGTGCAAACGTGGGCTTGAGAGAAGTATAGGCGAAGAATAGGGGCTGAGTAGCGCAATGGTAGCAATAATGTTCGTTACGGACGTTCCGGAATACCCGTGCTCTGGTTCTACCTCGCACCTGGTCCACCAAGCCTCATCCGTCCACGGTCGAAGAGGCGGTAGCAGACATGTCTGGAAAAACCACAAGACCGCAATCTATACGAAATAGCCACAGCACGACAGCACCAACGCAGTATCGCAACATTTGAAAGAGAATCGATCGGCTCGACCAGTGTTCAAGGACATTGGTGACGAAGACGGAGAATTCCTCAACCATCCGCCAACACCGCAAGCAAAGAAGTTCGCAGATTTCCGTGGATGGTGGATACGAGGAAACGGATGGAATGCAAGAAGTACGGTGTTCCGCGTGATGTGATACATATGATGAATGGGGATTTAATGAAGTAATAAGTAAAAGCAAACGAAGCATAAATGAATAAAAGGAATTAAGAAAGCAGTTATGATGTTGGAAGCTACAAAAAGATAGTCTGTGTGTGGACCCTCTACTTCTACTCTATTTATTCTACTTTTTATTCTATTTTATCCTATTCACGTTAAAGTAGGTAGGCGGCTAGCACGGTGATGTCGATACCGATCACGACGAGCATGGTGATGGCTTAATCCTGCTCCGTTTCTTCGTTGCTTCGTTGACTCTTTGGCTGACGACGTTCGCAGATTTCCCAATGTGCACCGGATTACAGTCACCATTAGAAAATATAGAGATCTTTGATTTCGCTGGTACTTCGTATAGCAAATACCAGGACCGCTTTCTACTAACTTTCTCTTTGATGTAAACTTTTCCTTAACTGTGGACTATTTTTTCATGGCAGCGTATCCAATGAAATGTAATCACAGCGATGCTAAGATATGTGCAAAACTCGGACCCTAGGCCAACTTTTAGCTCGGATTTCCGGAGCTCACGTGTCACCCATCTCACCACCGAGGCCTTTGATTTGCCTTTCTCTCGGCGAGTTTTGTTTCAGTCGAAAGAGTTCAAGTTTTAGATAAAAGCAAAGCAAAGGCCCGGCGGTACAGTAGGTGTCAAATTTGACCTAGCATACGAGTTTTGAAAGTATCTCAGCATCATGATAGTTGCATTTCACAGTTGTTACTACACTACTTTTTCACAATAGCTGAAGTTTCGACGGTTTCGCATTCTCCAGAGACCGCGAAGATGAAACCGCAGTTCACTCATTCAAACACATAACCTCCGCAGGAAACCTCAGTGCTACTATTTTAAAGGATGGGAGACGATGTAGCAACTATTTGTCGAAATGTTACTATTCCTTCATATTAGAGAGTCGTCCTATAGTAACCGTGTCAATGACAACGTTAACACTCCTTCATATCAAATAGCAAATTTTCTTGCTTGTAAACGTTTCCATCTCATTCGGAGGAACTTTGCCTACAATAAGCAGTCTTTATCTTGCTAACCTCTTTTTGTGAGCGGAGCATTGTGTGTTATCTTGTTCAAAGCCTTTGTGCACACCACAACACAAATGGAAAAAAGTTGTTTGCAAGACCCGTCTTCCTTCATTTAGCATGTTCACGAACGACGAAAAGGCAGTAGTAGACGAAAGTTTTGTGGGGAATTTAGAACCTGCGTCAAAACAACGCCCTCTCCAAAACACTTTTAACAACCTTGTAAGTCGCTATTTTATTCTTCTGGTTAGGGCCCTTATGGTTTTTCGTTTTATCTTACGCTTTACTTTATGTACATGATCCACGCTGTTGATCCTTACTGCATGTGGTCACTATAGTAGATTAACCTCATTCTACTATTATGTACCTTTCAATACATTAAGCAAATTGCATTGTCATTATAAGTTAGTGATAGCATAAAGTTCACATACTTGATATATACTCGCTTCTTGAATGGCCCGTCCTCACTGGTTGTGCGGGCCCCAGCATAATCTCTACTTTACGGAGATTTGCTGGTTAAGCCATGTAGTTTCCTGGAATCACGAGGTCAGCCTGGATAAAGTCTGCTCCGGGTGTTCACCACCACACGCAATCGCGGCCTTGTCGATCAGAAGGAGTTTTTCCACCATGCGACTTTGATACCAGAACGGTGATGGATCTTGATTTTGGTTTACTTTTAGCTAGGCTTCCTGATGAAAACGCCGGACTCCTTCTGGGCTTGGTAGACCCTGCCAGGGGATGAATCCCCAGTTGTATATTGCGGTCCGACACCCAGGAGCACCTCCTAGCCGTGCTGAGGCGGGAAACCGTTTGAAAGAGGTACTTTACAATCAATCGGAAAAAATTCAACTGCTTCTTTGTCGTTCACATGTACTCTCTAATATGTTAACCTTATCATGAAACTCACATCTGGTGCGTGACCCTACAATATTGTCATGATAAATCAGGTTTTACGGGCTCAAATGAGCTTTCTGATGTGGTGACCTATTGTATCACTACTGACCTATTCCACATTACACATCTACACGACATTGCTCCTCCAGTTCAGTGTAAAGGCTACCATCTTACTTCGAAGCACCCTCTTATGAACCAGTCTTATGAAGGCATACCTACATATTAACGATATCATCACATTGCCCCTTGTATTGTTTCGGTGAAGGGCGCTCGTGGTGCAGTGGTCTGCGGCTCCCTGCAACACACACGCGGGATCGACTAAGCCTTCCAATCACTCCGGGGTCGGCAAATTGGTACCAGACTTATCTGGGAGTGTAGCAGCACTGGTTCAATACATGGTAGGCCACCGCAAGCCATTGTAGAGGCAGGATATGCATTCAATCACGTCCAAATGATGCTTAATGAAGTCGAATGCATGGCGCATCCCCAGCGACTGACCAACGTTGGGAGCTTTTCTTATTGTTTTGGTGTTTACATATCGTTATTCCTTCATTCGTGAGTACAGGTATACTAAAACACTTTAAAATGTCAATAAGTGTGTAACCGTTTATGTGACAACCTATGCACACCACAAAATTCTGTAAATTACCCCAACAGTAGAGACGGCGACTGCATCAGTTCGGGTACAGTGTACCTCATCATTTTTAAAGCACGTGGGAACAAATACGTTGGTGAAGAAAGCACCTAGTCGGTAAATTTAGATTCAAATACTCCACCAAACGCGCATAGCACAGAGAAGAGACATAATAGAGAAGGTTTTGAAGTAAAAATCACTATCCTCGCATAGGTATCAAAAATATAGGCGCATAGAACTCTTGAAATACTTTGGATAAATTTCAAAATTCCACAAATAAACCACAAAGAGGAGTGCTTTGTATCCATGGATGACCTCGCCCCATAGCTCAGGTTGATTTTTTGACCTCAGGCAGGGACATTCCTTACCCGAGTAGGACTTTATGCGGCTACTCTCTATCAAATAGCTGGAAAGCTTTCAAAGAACAAAACTACAAATGTTTAAGAAAACTGTCTACTATGCGAATAAAAATTTATGCATCGAATATTTATTTGCTGGGGCCATAAAAGCATTGGCCGAGTTGTCTGCATGTCAATTTGACCTTTGCAGGCTCTGAAGAAAGTGGAACAACAACATACAACTCATATTCTCCCTTCAAAAAAGCTGTGAATTCTTTCTGCCGTAGAAATTTGTAATAGGCAGTAAATAAAAAGTTAAAATTGTGATTTCGACTACAGCCTCAGGTTAACTGGGTTCAATGCCTATTTGGGCTCACTCGATCAATCTCGTTGACCGGTGATTGCAGATGGCACTGATAGATAGAGAAGTAACGGAAAGACAGGCGAAACGAAAGACCCACATGGTGTGGTGGTGAACGCTTTAGCCTCCGGAAAGGGTAATGGGGCATTCGCTCCCTACCGGAGACACCTGCGGTCCGAGATTTGCAAATATCGCAGCATCATTGTGGTTGCATCAAAAACAATACTCTGCCGTGAAAAATTATAATAGGCAGTAAATAGAAAGTGAAAACTGTGAATTCTTCATTTTAATGTGATAGAATTCCATATAGAATAATACAGTACACATAGTAAAAACTGAATAGGCAACGAGGCAAAGAGGAGTGAAAGAATCAAACAGGAACAGTGAAAATTCCACACGTCTCAACATCAGAAATTATGAGAAAATTAAAGTTCAATGAAAATCAGACTAAAGATTCTGAGAAATCTTTGAAAACACTGTAGAAACCGAGGCTATTTGGACCATCAAATCGTATCCTGTAGTACAATAGAACTACTCTGCACCGCAGCTTCTTAGTGAGGTGAGTTTACCTCTATCTACTCTGCAGTGTCTAGTAGTATATCTTCAGAATAAAGAGACAATTCACAAGAAATTTCATTAAAATCGAAGTCGTTCCTTCGAAGAAAGCCTTTCAGCTTCTACACAATGGATTCTCATAAAGAATACAAGGCTCGCAATTGTATTTAAAACGGATTAGAAGTTCAAATATAGAGGTAGAGAACCACAGATGACCTTGTACCCAATTCAAGCACGATGTATTGACACCGACACACGTCTTGTTAGCGTAACTAATAAAACTGAAATCAGCACTCAGTCTTCCGAAATGAAATGAAATTCCTAAATCGGACATCAAGGTGACGTCCGCAAAGCTATGAGTGCTCCGATTGCCAATAAGAATGGCGAAAGGATGGCCAATATTTTTGCGAAAACGTGAAAACCGTAGCTAGTCACCATAAATGCCCCATCTTATTCTTCATTCCTAAAATTTCTTCGATGGAACCTATGGCAGCATTTCTTTGGCGCTTCTCCACACCACTTTTAGAGTGGTGTGTTCTAAGCGTTCCGGATTTCTCTGTAAAAATTGCGGCGCCCTTTTTCCCTTTTTCTCATTTCTTCCGAATTTTTTACCCACTGAAACATTCCTGTAGCTTGGAAACAAAGGTGACTAGAACAAGAAGTATATTTGAGGTAATTTGTTTTATGGTCTCATTTTTAATCGTAATTATGCATTAGAAAGGAATTACGCCTTATATCTTCACGACAACGTAGTTATTATTTCTGGAGTAGGCGATGCTGAAGGGTTGAATGCGACGGGCGTCATTGCGTGTGACGGCGTCATGCAGCAGATCACAGTTGGAGACGCGCTCCAAATTCTCCTTGTCTTCTTCATCCCACATCCCTCTATATGCACAGTACGGTCTATAAATGTCGTCAATCGACTGAAGCTAATGAGCATCGATGAAATATTTCTATACGGTCTTCTTAATTAAAAATAAAAGACAATGAATGGAGTTGAAAAATACTTAAACGGAGGCGGGTAGCGCAGTGGTAATAACGCTACTCGCCACGACTTCTGTGTAGGTTCGATCCCAGTCCGGGCTCACCAAACCTGTCATCCTTTTGGAGTCCGAAAATTGATCCCAGGTTTGTATGGCAGCAGACCACTCCAGGTAGTCCAAGCAGGAACACCCAAGGCACCGGTAACCAAAGATTTTAGTGAGTGTTCACTCGATCAAAATCCAGTTATATTCATGAATACGGCAACAATACTCATGAGCAGCCGAACTACCTTCCCAAACGTTCGCAGACGTACATGGGTGATGGCTGTGAGAAAATGAATCAAATGCAAGATGTGCTGGGATAGGTCTGCTGCTGGGAACTAAGACACGAGCCATCCTCTCATCAACTGTGTGGATTCCAGCACTTCCTGCATTCGATTCGTATTTCATCAGTCATCAGTCACAGAGGTATGTAAACGCTTTGCGTGCGTGGGGGTTCGACTGCTCCATGATTACTGTCGTTTTCTTCATGAAGATCACTGAATTTTCATCAAGTCAATTTCCCCTGAAGTTCGTGGATAGTCTTACTAGGGTGTTCTTGCTTTGACTGTAGGAAATGGGCTATTTCCAAACAAGTTTGGTACCAATTTCCCAATCCCAGAGAGATGACTGGCTTGGTGAGCCCGCAGCGGGATCGAACCCGCACCGTAGTTGTGATGAACGGCACAATAAGCACTGCACTATCCAGCCCTTAAACGATATAATAGTATAGGACAAAATTCTTTGTAAGTTCAACCAGCCTGATTACTAGCTTTCGTGATACATTTCACGCCATTTGAAGCAACATACATTAATCGACAGCTTTTAGATGTTCAATCACCAATGTTGTAATTAAGTTCACTTTCTATAAATGAAAAAGGGCGCGTGTGGCGCAGTGATCGGAGAGGCCCTCCGACACACACACACACACGAGGTCGATCCCGCTGCCATGGCTCACCAAGCTTTCCATACCTCCGGAGTCAGCAAATTGGTACCAGACTTTTCTGGGGAGACTTGATACATGACTTGATACATGGGTAGGCTACTGCGAATAGGTCATTATAAAGGCCAGATATGCATTCAATTACCTCCAACGATGATTATTGAAGTCCAATGCGTGGCGCATCCCTAATGGATTGATCAACGCCGAGAGCTTTATTCTTTATCCTTCTTTAAATGACAATGTGAAATTCTATTCACTGCCAAGATTAGACACAGTCAGTACTGTTGGATATGGGTGTTTAAAAAACTAGTTGGAAGATTTATGTAGCGTCGATCCCTAAAATGAGCAACTGGTACGAAAACAGGTTATACCTGACGGGATCCGGTGCACAGTTAAAGACCTGGAAGATGAAATAGTTGGCGCCCATTTTCTTAAGCACCTCGTGCACTTCATTCAGTGGCTTTCTGCTGAACATCGAATACACCTTCTTCGTACGATCTCTAAAACTCAAAAAATTATTCACAACGTACCATTTCCTATGAAGGAAATAATAATATAGAAGCTAATCAATGACCACCTGATTCCTGTATCTTCATAATGAGGATGGTTGACGATTGGTCGAAGCGTAGTCAACTTCACATTGGCCATCACAGGCATTGTCCCAGCGAATACGGTATCTAAAAAACTACACGAACGTATAAAGAATTGAGACTGGTCGTGTGAAACAAGAAAAAAGTGGGGAATGGTGTTGAATTTCGATTCTTTTGTGTGGTGAAAACCGTCGAGCCGAGATTATGAAACAGAAGAAGGATAATGCTTTAACAATTGTCTATTGCCTATTCTTGTTCTAATGGCATGGTATTACGTAAAACACAACCGCAATGATGCTCAGACAAGAGCTAAGCTCAGGACCACATGTGGGCTCCGAACTCGCGATTACCCTTTCCGGTGGCCAACGTGCTATCCACAGTACCCATCGAAGGCCCTGCTTCTCCTCTTTCTACCATTCTTTACTCTAACAGTTCTACCAGTTTTAACTTATTGTTTACTGCCTACTCTTTTTTAATGGCAGGGTATATTGCGAAATATAACTTCAATGATGCTGAGATATTTGCAAAACTCCGGACCGCAGGTGTTTGCGGTGGGGAACGAACGCGCTATTATCCTTTCCGGAGAGTAAAGCATTCACCACCACTCCATACGGGTCCTTCGTTTCGCCTGTCTCTCATCTAGTTCTATCGATCTCTGCCATAGCAATCACTCGTCGATAGAATTAGCTGAGAGACAGGCGAAACGAAAAACCCGCATGGCGTGGTGGTGAACCCTTTACTCCCCGGAAAGGACAATAGCGCGTTCGTTCTCCACCGCAGACACCTGCGGTCCCGAGTTTTCCAAATATCTCAGCACTATACGAGTTATCTCAGCATCATTGAAGTACTATCAGTAATCAACCATCAACGGGAATGATCTGTGGAGCACAACTTGGCATTGAATTCAATTAAGCTGAAGCTACAGTCGAAATCACAGAAGAAAGACAAGCGGTGAAAAATAACTATTTCTTACTACTGCGTTTTGAATATAAGCGAAAAAAGAAATTGCTATGTTCATACCAGGTTTTGTTTCTTTCATTATCCAATCAAACAACATCTCTTGCTCAGGGTTACTGTACTCGCCTTTAATGAGGAGTTGCTTCTCGATGTTGGATTTACCTGAAATGCCCTTTTTTATCCTTGACATAATCCAATACGGCTATCGATTTGGCATTGTGCTTCGGTCTCTCATTTATAAAGGAATGAGCACATCGAAAAAAAACAGAACAGGTTCTTGAGAAAAATTCCGCGTTCTATATAGATGACCCTGCTCGCCAGAATTAAAGCACTTTAAGTTTAAAATGAGGATATTGAGCAGAGTGGTAAGAGCTTTCATGTAATGTATACATGATCGTGGGTTCAACGGAGATCGATAAGCCAGTAGCGTACTTGTTGCAGAAAAGTCCTTTCTGACTCACAAAACCAGCAAGTGGGTGTGGCATATGCTAGGGAAAGATCTAGTAAGGCAATCCAGAGAATCCCGCAAGAATTATGCTCGACTGGCACTCAATGACACTCATGAAAAGATAAGGGCCTCGAGTTACAAGTAACACCTTGGTGGATGACGTATACAAAGCAAAGACGTGAAAGGAAAAAGCACCGAGATCCCCATAATATACGAAGGTATTCAATTTTTAGAAAAATTTGAAAGACATTAGAAAGAAATATATATGAATAGCCCGCAGGCAAGATGACTCCAACCTTCGTAAGCCATTGCGGCTATCACGACGAATACAACGACGGCATGGATGCGTTTATCGAGGTGGATCCTGATTGAACTCAGCAGCTGAAAATCATTAGTTCCAAAGGTTTTACAAGATTATTAGGTGCTTTGGAAAGTTTTATAATATGACAACGCGTTTCTTAAAATCTACTACAATTACCAATCTAAAAAACGACTTAAGCATATGATTACACTCATTGTTTTCGAAAACTAATCGTCATTTAACCTCTCCATAAATGAGAAATATTTTTTAGATTATTTAGCTAACATGAGGTTGAAAGGAAGCAAAGCTAGGGCCTCGGTTGGTGTGGTGGAAAGTAACTGAGCCCCGGTCATGGTAGTCACTGGTTTGAAGCCCAACTCAATTTCCGAATTTTGCTCATATCTCAGCTATCTTGTGGTTGCATTGCACATAGTACCCTATCATCAAGGAAAAAAAACACGCAGCAAATAAAAGTGAAAACATTGCAACGTTGTGTTGTTAGTAAAGTTCATTACATAACTAACATCAGGGGCGGATTGCGCAGTGATAGCGATGCCGATCATCACGAGCACGGTGCTAGTTTCATCTCGCACCAAGCTCACCAAGCCCTCCTATCTTTCCAGGATAGGGAAATTGCTATCGGACTTGTCCAGGAAAAAACTTCTCTTTGCATACCAATTAGGAACCCTTCAGTCTTGTTATCTCAGAACTCCAGATTGAATCGCTTCGACCAGCATTCTACGACATTGAAGATAAAATGAAAAATACTCAAGCAGAAGCCGAAGCCGCAAGTGGAAGTTGGAAGACCTATGGATACGAGGAACCGAATCGAATATGGGAAGTTCCTGGATCCGCATAGTATACGTGAAAATGGGTCGCATAAAATAAAATAACTAGCAAAACTGGAATCTATCGTAAAGTTCCAGCACTCTAAAATGTTCTAAATGTTCGCATTCCAGAACCCCTGTTGCCTGAAATTTATGGACTTACCGAACTCATCTTAACACAAGTCTTTTCGTCAAAGTTTTTCTCACATATATGGCTCGTTTAGCACAAGTTCACGATATGCCAACGAAATGAGAAGAAATATTTCCACTTAAGAGCCATTGTGGCCAGTGGTAGGAAAATGAGTACAGGAATAATACGTCGAAATCTCATCAACTTCGTAATAGAGTACTCGTTAGGTTTTGATACTGTAGTTGGCAGTTCTCCAAAATGCAGCTGATGTACTTATGCATACGAGAAAGATAGAATGTCAAGCTTTCATCTTCTATTATGCCAGTCCAAAAATATATCCTCTAGTGGACTGAGAAGTGGCACATACTAAGGTGCTCAAGTTTAGATGGACTGAGCACATCAGAGAGATGGATTTAAATCCTATGATGGAGCACTGAGAGTTATTCTAAATAAACAAGAAAAAGCTAAACTAAAACCAATCCAAAACATTTTGAATTACTTCTTTAAGAGTCCCAAGAACATCTGCAATAAATTAAAATGCTAATAACAAGATAAGAATGTTCTTTTAAAGACTAATTGAACGGACTTGTCAATAGAGACTGAAGGGTTTCAATGCGGGCACTGAAGTGTAAAGGATCCTGTAAAGGATAAACCCTTCAGCGTTGATTAATCTCTAAGAGACGCGCCATGCATTCAAGTTTATTAAGTATCGTAAGAGGTGTTGGAGTGCATATCTAGCCTACACAATCACTGCAAGTGGCGTATTGATGTATTAAGTCAGTACTGCTATACTTCCAGCCAAGTCTGGCGCCGATTTGCCTATCTCAGAGGGGTAGAAAGTTTTGTAAGTCCATGGTACGGGATCGAATCGGTAACTACATGTATGTTTCAAAGCACCTCTAACCACTACCCTAGCAGAAAATGTTCGTGTTATTCGGGCGATTATTAAGTATTTAATGATCCATACACGGAAACAGTGTTACCATGAAGGTACCCAATCTCAACACCACGTCTACATTTTTCACCCGGTACGGTAAGAGGTGATCGTCAAGGTTTTACAGGATTTTCACGTCGAAACACTGTGCACAAACACAGGGAATTATCTTATGCATTTTAGTCAATACATAAAGTTTTCTCCCATTGATTTTGCTCACTTTCAGAGAAGGATAACTGACATAAAAACATAAAAACATTCTCATACAAACATAAAAAAAACAATCGTCGTTCATTTCTACTTAACCAATGCGAAAAATTTTACGAGCTAGATTCTCTATGAGCAAGTAATTCACCGAATGACATTTTCAGTTCGTTCACTAAAATAGTGTGAAATGTAGCGCTTAGAAATCTCAGTAGTAATGGTGTCTGTTCTCGGATTCGACTATCTGTTGACTAGGGGATAAGGGAAAAAGTGACATGAAGCATTGTTGAAACAGAAAACAAGTTGAAGAGATAAACTGAATTGCTTGTTACATTTTACAAAAATGTGTTGAGAAAGAGCACTTCGACGTTTCACATGGAATATGCTGCAACAATAGTGGACGAATGGGATGTCCCATTGAAGAGCTGACAGGGAATTTTATTATTATTGACCAGACATCACAGGTATCACATTTGAGAATCGTAGAGCTTCTCGCGTTGTATTTGGTTCCTCGCACCCACTACTCATGAAGGTCTTCGAATTTTTTTTCGTGTAGTTTCGACTGCTGCTTGAGGATTTCTTCCTCTTCGCCACTAATGTTGAATGCTGGTCTCGTCGATTCTCTTTGGAGCTCTGGGATAGCCGGGCTAGAGCTTTCACACTTGAATAGGAGAGAATGAATTGTTTCTAGACAAGTGTGGTACGGACTTCCCAATCCTGGAAGGATGAGATGTTTGGTGGGCCTGGTGCTGAGTCAAAACGAGGTTTTGGTAGGTTCGGCTGACAGCGTAATGAGCGGGACCACTGCCACTGCGCTACCCACTTCCTGACAACCAGTGAAAAGATGGAAAATTACCTTGTTATTGGCAAGTAATGCTGCACAAACGCACAAATGGGGAGTGAGGAACAGTTTTAAGCGCATGATGAGCACCGCCATCACTCCATAGCAGCACATTTGCACAATATTGTAGAAAACCTGAAATGTCCATCATTTCCATTGTTTTCACAAACAGCCGATGTACTGCATTGAATATCAACAATATTCAATAGTAATATTAGTGGTAAAAGGATAAAGGATAGAGCTCTCGGTGCTGATCAATCATTGCGGGATGCGCCATGCATTCGACTTCATTAAGGATCGTTTACAGGTAACTGAACGCATATCTGGCCTTTACAGTGACACGCAGTGGCCTACCAATGTATCGAGCCAGTACTGCTATTCTCCCAGACAAGTCTGGCACCGGTTTGCTGACCCCGGAGGTATGGAAGGCTTGCTGGGCCATGGACGGGTGGATCGATTCCACGTGTGTGTCGCAGTGGCGCCTCCAACCACTGCGCCACACGCGCCCTAACATTAGTAATAATAATGACAATCGTACAAATCTAACAATCCGAATAACTGAGACTTAACATATAACAAAGTGAAAGAAAACATAAGCAATTAATCGCAACAAAACGACCAAATTCACCTCGGCATGTTGCTTTCCACGTTCTCCACTCCTATGCAGCATTTTTTGTCGTTCCGTGAAAAGAAGCGAAATAGCGAATAGAAGAACACCAAGCATCGCGGATGGAATTAACCATGTGTCGTAAAGCTTTTGAAGTGTCTCAAATGAACAAAGCATTCTACTCTTATTCATCGATTAAGATTGTTAACGACGTTTAAAAACGTAAGGTTCGTGGATCAGCTACTTTCTTTTTTCGTTTTTTTGCTTTTTGCCAAATCATCTTCAACTGCATAAACCGGTTATGAATCATTAGAGAAAATTTTTCATTTAAACGTTCAATGCTTTCGGAGATTAAAATCAACCATGGCTTGTGGTGGGCCGAGCTCAACATCTCCAACAACTACCAAAGTGGTTTTGATCTGAAGAACAAAGAAATTACCTCCAATGGAATAAAATCGAACTCTGCCGAACATGTATAGAGTCGCGTATGAAATGTAGAATAGTTAGTGAGCTTTGATCGTAGAATGTCAAATATATGGGCCTGTAAATACGCTATCTCCACAAAAATGTTTAGTATAAACACAACATACAGAAAAGGCAAACAGTGACAGTACTTGTATAATGTGACGGTCTCACAAAGTATTGTCGCAGTAAACGTAGACTCTATCGAGATTTTTTCTAACTGTTCGATTCTTCACTTTTATCCTAACGTAGTTTTCGACTAGTCGTCATCAGGAACCCGGTTAAACACGCAAAATTGCTCCACATCTTTGCTACTCTGTACTGAACACCAACGATGTTTGATTGCATAACAACAGATCTTCGGAGGTTCCACAGGATGTTCACCACTGGATTCAAGGTTAGGACGTCACCACTTAATCGATTTTTCAACAATGTAAACTAAACATCTAGCAGATGTGATTTGTATCATAAGAGAACCTAAGGTTTGTCAAGCAGTGTCTCTTCAATCAATCCACTGTAGACGCACATGTATCATAAACAACTTCATGAAGGGTTCACTGCACTAATGACAAATGATTCCAAGCTAAAGGGTACTCCATTGATGTTTCCCAGAGCCCACTATCACTCGGCAACTGTGAAATAGATGTGCAATTCTTTATAAACTTTCAGACATACAATTTCCCACCAACAATTCTTCTAGCTGTCATATTATAAACTAGGTTTGTATTTACTAGTTCAGTGAATTGCAAAATTACTACTAATATGTCAATACAACTCAATGAGTGATCGATATCGTGCATGTTCTCTTAGCTTTCTTGGAACTGGTTTACCAGAAAAGGCAGGTTTAAAGTTAGCATAAAAAATTATTTAGTCAGTGATTCTTAAGCATGGGTGGGTGCTACCTCACATAGCTCCACTGCTGGCCCAACGTTGCATCCGTGAAGTAACACAGCGCACAGCGCACAGCGAAAATGGCTACATTACGAAGTGGTACCGAAAGCCAAGTAGTAAAAACATCCTGGTACATTACCTCTCTTCTCGTCCCTCTCACACGAAAACAGTGCTTGTAAGAAATATGTTTTGAACAGCAACCAACGTGTGCACGGGAAGAGAGCAGAGAGAGGAGTCCCGGAACTTGGCACGGCAAATAGCCATTTCCAATGGCTACGAAACTGTAGCTCGGGATAGGTGTAGGGGAAATCGGAGGCCCCCCAAACGATAACTCTAGCGACTAAAAGGTCCCGTTTATCCTACCCTTCATCTCAAATGATGTAAGAGCAGCTATAAAACGCTGTTTAAGAAGGACCAGTCTAGAAAATTCGGTAACGATAATTGAAATGCCACCGAGTAATCTAAGACGCCAGCAAGTTCGTAACCGACTATATGACCGTCTATGTGCAACGCAAAATTGCATAATTTGCCCCAATGGTAAAGACGGTGATTGCATGAGCTCGGGTATAGTTTATCTGATCTCCTGTAAAACGTGCGGATGCGAATACATTGGTAAAGCAGGAAGACCCCTCTGTGTCCGCATAAAAGAAGTCCACCTAGCCGGAAAACATAAAGCAAATACATCGCAAGGCACGTATAGGACCTAGAGACATAACGGAGAGGACTTTGAAGTACGTGTCACGACCCTCCCACTGGAGTCGAGAACAAAAGCGCGCAAAACTCTCGAGGAGTTCTGGATTAATTCCAGAAATCCGAAAATGAACCGCAGGGAAGAATGTTTCATTATCACGCGTGATATAGGGCAGTATATAAACCGGTTATTCTGATGGGAGGAGTACATTACGCTTCTATGTGAATTCTGTGCGGTTGGTTTTCACACGACATACTCAGTGGAAGACATAGAAAGCGGTGTGTGTGTAAAATGATATTCCATGTTCAATGTGATTGAAATCTTGGTTTGGCGTTTTCTCTGTTTGGTTATGGAGGTGTTTGGCCGAATAGATTCTTGTCAACTTGATCTTTCCAAGCTCTGAGGAAGGCGAAATCCGCCGAAACGTCAGTTTTTACGTGAGTGGGGAAGTGGAGTAGCACCACGTGTTTGCTGAACAGAAGTGGAAAGAATTGTTCAATCAATGCCGAGGTTAATAGAAAGTCGGACGTGGGAGTTACAGTGCATTTAATTTAAATCTAAACACACAACGAACACTTACATCGTCTTCAACTTTGAGTAACCTTGTAGCTCCTATTTTGATACAGACAGTTCCAGCAAAGAAGCTCAGCATTGACAAGGCCACGTATAAAGGCCGTAAAGTTATCCTATTTAGAAGGAGGTCAAATTTCACCAGAATCTACAAGAAAAGTTTTCTTTCTTTTTATATGAAAATATGCGGAAGGTGTCCAATTGAGAAAAGAGGATTTTGATGAGAGTGCAGGTTGCGGATTGAAGTAAAAATGGATGCAAATGAGAATAATGGAAATGAGTAAATCAATGGAAGTAAATCACAACCAGCCATATATTCGAATACGTTCTTTGGCAGATTATGATCTAAGAGTTAGAAAAAAATGTCCGACATAGTATTTCTTCATTTTTTAAAATTTTTATTCGATCCATCCTCACATCTACTGTGCGGATCTTAGCATTTCTCACATTCAATTCGTTTCCTTGTAACCATTGTCCACGAGGATCTTCTAACTTTCTATGTGAGGCTTTTGGTTGCTGCATGATGATTTCCATTTCATCTTGAATGTTGTACAATGCTGGTCGAACAATTCTCCCTGGAATCCTGAGATAGACGGGTTGGAACGTTCCAAATTGGATGGCAGAGAGTACTTTCCCAGACAAGTCCGGTACCAATTTTCCGACCCCGGAGGGATGAGAGGCTTGGTTGGGCCGGAGCGAAATTGAACTAGCAGCATGCTCGTGGTGACGGACATCACTACCACTGGGATATCCACCTCAACGAGCTAAATATTTTCAGTATTATTTCAGAGAAAACTGTTAGAAAATAGCCACAACGTTGCTGGGATATTTGCAAAACTCTGGACCGCAGGTGTCTATGGTGGGGAACGAACGCGCTATTGTCCTTTCCGGGGAGTAACGCGTTCACCACCACACCATGCGGGTCCTTTGTTTCGCACGTCTCTCAGCTATTTCTATCGATCTTTTTGCCAAAGCAATCACCCGTCAGCGGGGTTGATCTGGGGAGCGCAAATCGGCATAGAACCCAGTTAAGCTATGGCTGTAGTTGAAATCACAATGTTTAACGTTTTGTTTTCTGCCTTCTATAATTCTATAATCTATAATTTATCTCAGCAACGTTGTGGTTGTATTTCGCTTAGTAAGCTGCCATGAAAATTATAGAAGGCAGAAAACAAAACGTTAAACATTGTGTTAGAAAATAGTTGATTAGGTATTAGCCAATTCGACATGTGGCAATTCCTAAAAACTTCACAATCCACATTCGCGATTTGGGAATTTTCGAAGCCACGAAATATTTTTTTAGAAATTTCTAAGGGACTTACAAAGGCGGACAAAATGCTTGCAATGTATAGCGAAGTCAGCAACATCTCATTACCAAACAGCAGTGCAAACGACACCACGAATGCGGCCTAAAGTGTTCAACAGTAAAAGACAATGACGAAACGAACACTGAAGACGAAATCGCAATTTATTCATGTCCTTTAAAGCTTAAGTCCAAAGGCTGCATTTGCACAAATTGTTCTCTTGTCGCTTGATACACTCTTGTTCGTTGGAAACAGAACTTTGGTACAAACAGAGCCAACGCTGATAAGCGACAAGCCACGAAATCCCTGCAGAAATTTAAGCGATGTGAACGCAATATTTCTTCTTCGGAACAAAATGTACGCTATGAAAACCCATCAGTGGAAATTAGAGCACACCAGATGACCAGCCAGCAGAGTGCACATTGTCCTCCGAGGGATGAAGTCGAAGGTGAAGACGACGAACAGAGAACAGATCTGGGTGAAGAAGGCGAACTGCGAGAACTGCCAGAACAGCATCGCGCACCCACCGAGCATCGTCATCAATAACGCATAGGACGCCCCCGAACAGTTATTCCTGAAACACTGAAGGTCTTCTACTGTGAATACATACAGCATAGAGTTATGAGAAAGTACTCCGGCATAGTAATGCACTATGTATACTTTTATTCTTCACATACCACAATTACAAGAGGCTTTGGAAATTCTACTTTCAACATTCAGCAAGGGCACGTATGGCGCAGTGGTTGGAGGCGCCACTGCGACACACACATGGAATCTATCCCGCGCCACGGCCCACCAAGCCTTCCATTCCTCTGGGCCGGTAAATTGGTGTCAGGTTTGTATGTTAGAGTAGCAGCACTGGTTCGATAGATCGGTAAGCCACCGCGAGTCATTGTAAAGGCCAAATATGCATTCAAACACCTCTAACTATGCTTGATGAAGTCAAATTCTTGGCGCATCCCTCAGGGATTGGTCTACGCCGAGAGCTTCGTTCTTTACGCTTTTACCTCCAATATCTTCCACTACAATTTTTCTCTCCACTCTTTCATCGAAATAATTGAATGAGATGTATTATTGATTTAATGGTGAGGTCGATCTGCCTTAAAATGAACACACTAAATTTAGTCATTTTTTGAGATCTTCTGTTACGTGAGGTATGGTGCATGAGAAAACTTGTGCTTTATTTTCATCTAATTTCTTCCTCCTATGATAATACAAAAACTAAAATTAACGCATTTTTAAGATTTTTTCGATTTTTCTAAAGCCGCTTTAAATATCTTCGCTTTAATGGAACATGGTCTTCCTTTTCTCCCAATACTACCTGACCGTCACCTTGCTCTATGAATGCATAGCAGTGAACGAAGGAGAAATCGTTTGCACTAGAAAAAGAACTAACTTCAAGATGTAGGTGACGACTGTGATCTGGGCGATGATCATTGGAAAGGCGAAGGATTCACGAAGAGGCGGTGTCCACTGCACTCGGGTGGCCTCGCCGTGGTTGAAGGCGAATGCCAGAACTGAGATGAAGCCTCCTAGTAGACTGTCGCTAAATTTGAGTCATCGGTATTTCTTCTAAACGATGTCAAAATATAACACTGGTCTGCGCATATGTACGTATTCACTATTGAAATTCTAGATATTTATCAAATGAAGTTCAGAACCTAGTCCAAAAAACCCGGAACAAAGTGGTCTCACTCCCCTTGAATATTCTTCACCATGAGCGAACCAACGTCCCTTCGCCCATTCCTACTCGTGGAAAAATGCTACTTATGCATCAAATACAATATATTACAACCACAATGTTGCTGAGATATTTGCAAAACTCTGGACCGCAGGTGTCTATGGTGGGGAACGAACGCGCTATTATCCTTTCCGGGGAGTAACGCGTTCACCACCACACCATGCGGGTCCTTTGTTTCGCGTGTCTCTCAGCTAGTTCTATCGATCTTTTTGCCACAGCAATCACCCGNCAACCACAATGTTGCTGAGATATTTGCAAAACTCTGGACCGCAGGTGTCTATGGTGGGGAACGAACGCGCTATTATCCTTTCCGGGGAGTAACGCGTTCACCACCACACCATGCGGGTCCTTTGTTTCGCGTGTCTCTCAGCTAGTTCTATCGATCTTTTTGCCACAGCAATCACCCGTCAGCGGGGTTTATAGCTGAGAGACGTGCGAAACAAAGGACCCGCATGGTGTGGTGGTGAACGCGTTACTCCCCGGAAAGGATAATAGCG